TGATTGTTCTTGAATGGCCCAGCCAGAGCCCTGACTTAAACCCAATTGAGCATCTCTGGAGAGACCTAAAAATGGCTGTCCACCAACGTTTACCATCCAACCTGACAGAACTGGAGAGGATCTGCAAGGAGGAATGGCAGAGGATCCCCAAATCCAGGTGTGAAAAACTTGTTGCATCTTTCCCAAAAAGACTCATGGCTGTATTAGATCAAAAGGGTGCTTCTACTAAATACTGAGCAAAGGGTCTGAATACTTAGGACCATGTGATATTTCAGTTTTTCTTTTTTAATAAATCTGCAAAAATGTCAACAATTCTGTGTTTTTCTGTCAATATGGGGTGCTGTGTGTACATTAATGAGGACAAAAAATTTACTTAAATGATTTTAGCAAATGGCTGCAATATAACAAAGAGTGAAAAATTTAAGGGGGTCTGAATACTTTCCGTACCCACTGTATATATATATATAGTGAAAATCAGTGGGGACCAGTGATGTTTTAGACCTAGAATAGCTTCTTTTGTGTTCCTCAGAATGTCACAGGTTTGGAATGACGTGAGCATGAGTAAATGATGACAGCATTTTCATTTTTTTTCATTTTCAAATGAAAATGTGCTGCAAATGTACTCGCCCTCAGGTCGTCCGAGATGTAGATGAGTTTGTTTCTCCACGGGAACAGATTTGGAGAAATGCTCGGCAGTGAATGGGTGCCGTCAGAATGAGAGTCCAAACAGCTGATAAAAACATCACAATAATCCACAAGTAATCCACACCACTCCAGTCCATCAGTTAATGACTTGTGAAGTGAAAAGCTGTGTGTTTGTTAGAAACAAATCCACCATTAAGGGGTTTTAACTTAAAACTGTTGCCTGCAGCTAATAGACAAATCCTTTATCCATAATACTGCTGTCTCCAGTTAGAAAGTCGTCTCGACTAAATCAAGAGAGAAATACAGGTCAAGCTCTGCTTTCAAGCAAAAAACCCAAAACTGTTTTAAACTAATGTGTTGGAGGATTTTGATGTTTAGGGACCATAGGAGATGGACTTTTTCACTGGAGGAAACGTTATTATGACTGTTTTGGCCAGAAGCAATGGTTTGAAGTTAAAACACCTTAATGATGGATTGGTTTCTTACAAACACACAGCTTTTGGCTTCGCAAGACATTAACTGATGGACTGGAGTGGTGTGGATTATTGTGATGTTTTTATCAGCTGTTTGGACTCTCATTCTGACGGCACCCATTCACTGCAGAGCATCCATTGGTGAGACAGTGCTACAGTTCTCCAAATCTGTTCCCATGAAGAAATAAACTCATCTACATCTCGGATGGACTGAGGTAAATATGCTGTAAAAAAAATTTTTTGAAGTTGTAAATAAAACTAGGATTATTGGAATACTTTAGAATTTCACAATTAATTTACTTGCAGTTTTTTCGTGAAATTTACTAGCAAAATATTTTCTTAATTCTGAGTAACAATTGCTTCACAGCCGAGTTTTTCAGTGTACATTTTCTCAAAATTTTCATTTTTGGGTGAACTATTCCTGTAAGAGAAAGAGTTGATGAGGGGAAACTGTTTGTCCGGTCTGAACAGACTGAAGGAATGTGCTGTGTGTGGTAGATGTTAAAAAATCACTCAGAAACCGTACATGATTCTTATGAAATGATCAAAGCTGCGTGACCTGCAGTTTCCTGCAGAAGCAAGCAATGCCATGGGACGCGGTGATAAGGATGTCAATTGCCGCAGCCTGAGAGCAGATAGAGATAGAGATCTGATTTGGCTGTCTGTTCATGACAGAGCCGGTCCGAGCTGTCTGCACTCTTTGGCTCTGGATTTAGTGGGAGCGCCCGCGGGCGAGAGCGACATTCCTGTGACGCAGACGGAGAAGCACAAGAGATCTGATTTCTGAGCTGAAATAGGAAATATATTGTACACTTCAGTGTCACTTTAAATGTATCCTGAAAATGACTGTTAGAAAATAAGAAATAAAATTAGAACAGAATTTAAAAATGTTTTACTTTAGAAATATAATATAAAATAATGATTCTGAATATAGAAAAAAATTCAAATGTATTCATATTGAAATTAATTTACCTTTTCCTTATTCAATTTCTATACAAGTGATTACATTTCTGAACTAAAAGGTCAAATGTCAATGTCATCGTCACTTTAAATATACCCTGAAAAGGTCTGAAAATAAAATGAGAGATTTCTATAAGTAATTCAAAACAACATAATATAATGAAATATAATATAGATATAGATTCTGAATATATGCAGATCACAAAAAGGATTTTTTGAGGGTTTGTAAAAAATGTTAAATGTTAAATTCATTTCCTTTTTTTACATTTATTTTAAGTGATTCGGTTTCTGAGCTAAAATATCAAATACATATCTCAGTATCACTTTAAATATACTCTGAAAATGGCTGGTACTAAAAATAATAATTTTCCTAAGTCGTTCAAAACAATATAATATAATAATATAGATAAATTCTGAATATATATATATATATATATAGACCACAAAAAGGATTTGGTTTGTTCTTGTTAAAATGTATTTATGTTCATAAAATGTTTTTTTTTTGTTTTTATTAACTTTTTAAAAAGTTTTTAAATGGCAGGATTTGTACAATCACTTGTTCTCTCAAAAACAACTTTATACGTTCCTATAGATTTCTTCACACTGCACACAAATCTGATCTTTTTGATTATTCACACTGCCGCTTTGCAAGTGATGTAATCAGATCTGTTTGTTCAGACAGCACGGACAATATCCGGTGCATGTACATCGTTTGCTGTAGTTATGATGTAATAGAAAGCGTGATGCAACAGCAACTGAGTAGCTGTCAGTACTGAAACAAAGGAATGAAAACTGGAAAGTATGGAGTGTGGAAGTCACACTATATGAGGAAAATGTGTTTTTTTACTAAAACTAGCAAGACTAAGGATTAAGAATGTTCGTTTAATAGTTGATTGTTAATTGGTGTATGGTTTGTGGTGTGTTTTCTGTCTAGTTCTCCCCACTGTGACTCTCAAACCCTCTAAAGTGACCATGCAGAAAGGGTTAAATGTGACGCTGGTGTGCAACACCTCAGGAATGCCAACACCGACTCTGAACTGGACCACCTGCAAATTAAATTCAACGTACGAGGTAATTCAAACCTTCATCTCTAATTTACGAAGTTGATTCAGTTGTAAGTGTTAGTGGCTCTTGCAGTTTCTTTTCATTGTGGATGCCACAGAGGACATACTATAGAAGCTTGTTTCTGCCACTGGATAAAAAAACTAAACAAATGTGAACCTGGACCACAAAACCAGTCTGAAGTGTCAATTTTTCATTGAATAAATAGGCTTTCCATTGATGTATGGTTTGTCAGGATAGGACAATAATTGGTCGAGATACAACTATCTGAATATAATAGGGTGCAAAAAATCTAAATATTGAGAAAATCGCCTTTAAAGTTGTTCAAATGAAGTCCTTAGCAATGCATATTACTAATCAAAAGTTAAGTTTTGATATATTTACGGTAGGAAATTTACAAAATGTCTTCATGGAGCATAATCGTTACTTAATATCCTAATTAATTTTGGCATAAAAGAAAAATGAATAATTTTGACTCGTACAATGTATTTTTGGCTATTGCTACAGATATACCCCAGCGACTTAAGACTGCTTTTGTGCTCCAGGGTCACAAATAACTAAAAAAGGAAACTTTTAAGGAAACACAATTCTGAGAAAAAAAAATCCGAATCGGGAGATATAAACTCAGAACTGTAATGTATGAACTCGCAATTCCGAATTGTGCGATATAAACTTGCAATTGCAAAGAAAAAAGTCTGAATTGTGAGAGAAAAAAGAAAGAAAAAACAGAATTGCAAGATGTAAACTCAGAAATCAGAGAAAAAAGTCCGAATTCTGAGTTTATATCTTGCAATTCTGCCGTTTTTTCAGAATTGGGAGTTTATATATCATATTTCAGACTTTTGTTCTTGTAATTCTAAGTTTATATCTCACAATTCTGCCTTTTTTCTTGCAATGCCAACTTTTTAGAATTTCTCCCAATTCTGAGGGGAAAAAAGGCAGAATTGTGAAATATAAACTAACTATTGTTTGATAAAAAAGTTGTTACTATTTTTTTTTTATTCTGTGGCGGAAGCAAAAAAAAAAATTTTAAACGAGATTTAAACTTTGAGGAATTTCAGAATTGTGAGGAAAAGTCTTAATTGTGAGATAAAAAGTCGCAATTACCTTTTTTTTTTATTATTTGTTTGTCCCATGGCAGAAAGAAGCTTCCATTCAGACTGTGGGAGTATGGGTAGCCATACTATTTATTTTCACTACTACAAATAAATATAGCAGAAATGCATTTGCTATGTCTTGCCAGATTTTAAAAACGTCTTTTGCGAGTAAACACACTGTACATGCAATGAGCCCTTTGACAAGGTTTCTGAGTATATTATATTATTAAAGGGATAGTTCATCCAAAAATGAAAATGTGATGTTTATCTGCTTACCCCCAGGGCATCCAAGATGTAGGTGACTTTGTTTCTTCAGTAGAACACATTTGATGATTTTTAACTCCAGCCGTTGCAGTCTATCAGTCATATAATGAATGCATGGCAATAGTAACAAAATCTATGAGAGTAAAAAAAACATGCACAGACAAATCCAAATTAA